CATCTGTCTCATTATCCCATCGTAAAATGCTAGAGAGAAAGAAAAAAAGATTTTTAAAATTAGACTTACGTGTTTTCCGCTTTTGCATTTCTTTCTTTCTTTTAAAGAAAAGCATTTATACTTTCTTGGCATAGGATGTGAAGATTTCCTCCCCCCCCCATAAAAAAGTACAGAGAGGTAATTATAAAAAAGAACAAATAAAGAAATATTTCGAAGTGAGTATGCAACATTTACTTTGCCGTTCAGATCTTAAAGCAACAGAGTCCTGCCTTTACAGAGACAAAGGTAGCTGTTACAATAATTCTCTAAGAACTAATACATAAGACAGGACTACAGATTTTGCTCCTTTACACCTGTACATTAAATGAATATGAATATGTAGTGAAATCAGCCTGTGGCTTACTGAACTGCGTACTGCAACATACATTCACAAACTAAAAAGGCATTCCTTCCTGGCTCTCAGTTGTGTCTAGCAGGCAAACCAGTTGAATTCCTTAGTGATGAAGTGACTATTCCCTTGGGCTTGAAGGAGGAGGGATAGGAAAGAATGCCCAAGCTTTTGTGCCTTCAGTAATTAAAAAAAATACACCTATCCCAGGTGATATTGTTTAATTCTAAGATCCAAAACATTACCAAGTCCCCCTCAAAAAGAGAGATCATTTTATTATTTTGTTTCTTAACAATCTATAAAAGATTTATAAAAATTAGTAATACTAATTAGTAGTAATGATCATTGGGGATTTCCAAATTTCTTTTGGGTTTTTTTTTTAAATTATTCTTATTGAAGTAGGTAACTTTTCTTCCAGTCACAGTCATAGGGATGGGTTTTTAAAAGGGCAAGAGTGTATTTGTCCGTTCGTACATGTTTATTTCAGTGTTGTATGCATCTTGACCAGTAAATCCATTCATTCAGGAGAGGCAAGAAAGCTACTCCTGGTTAAAAGTCTTATGCATTCTTATCATGTGTTTCATGCCTGTTATTTACTAGTTCTCATTGGGAGGAAAACTGTTCTTATTGTTGAGAAATGTGAAGAGAACAGAGGTATAGCCGATGCTGTACAAATACACATACATACACACGCGTAAAACTGTATAGAGGTGTGTAACATAAGGTATATGGGGGGGGGGGGAAATCTGATTGGCTCCTGATGCTTATAGTTGTGTCAAATATCTTACTAACCAAATAAAACAGAACTCATTCACCAGTTTACCCTCCTGGAATGTATTGTGCCAATCCAAGGGAGAAAAACAGTAGGTTAATTTAATCGCCTCCCCACCCCCAACACACAACACTTTCACCCCATTTAAACTATAAATGGGGGGCAAATTTTAGAAACCTAGGTGGCTCTCCAAACTGGCACTTTCAGTGCTCAGCGTGCATCCACTAGTGGAAAGTGACAAAGGAGAGTTCTCACTCTCAGCTGCTGGCTGCCTGCTGGTTACTGGCAGCTTTTTCAACCCTGTTTCCGTGGAAACTTAGGTTACAACAGTGAAAATTAGGTAAAGGTAAGTTGGTGGCATTGTTAGCTTTTAGATGATTTTTTTTTTGAGAATCCTGAAACAGCAATGGCAGCTGGCAGTTGAGTTGCTGACTGCAAGGACCATCACTACTACTTCATTCCATAGAAATAGATCCCATGAAGACAAACAAGAACCTTAAAATGTTATTTCATCAGTTTATTTTGGAAGGTGTGATTCTTTGCTATCACCTAAACAAAACAGGTCAAAACAGCAGGCCTTCTGAGTGCTTGTTAATTCTTACTCTTTTTCCTGGCTAAAAAGTGTAGAATATCTACACATTCTGCGGAGAAAAAAACAGATGTGATACTATGAAACCAAAATTAGAAATGTCTTAATTAAATATTTGGGATTCGGTCATTTAATCTGTTGTTTTCTAGTAACTCAGTGTACATTTCCTGTTAATCCAAGACTATACCAGTATATACAATTCCCTGGTGAAGGACTTTGCAAAAAAAAACTTTGCAAAAATCTACCTCTGCTCTCTTCTACAGACAGTTCTTGTTCTGCACCAGGGCTGTAGCTAAGGGTTGGCGGGGGTGGTGCCCCCCTCCTGAATCTGCACCACCCTCACCCCTGTCTCCCACCTGCACTGTCAGGGAGGTGAGGCGAGCGAGCCCCACTGCTAGCAGGCCAAGGTGGGCTGAGGTGCTGCTGGTGGGCTCCCCTCCCCTGGCAGGACTTCCTTATTAACTTCTGGATTGGAGATCATTTCTGTGCAAGTGGGAGCCTTGTCTGTGTGGCACCTTATCTCTCTTTCTCTCCTTCCCTTTCCAGCTCTCTGGTCTCAAAAGCCTCCTTGAAGCAAACAGTGTCTCCCTCCCAGACTCCTGCCTGCAAATGGTTAAGCTGGGTTGTGGGTGGCACTCCTGAAAAGCATCCTCCTAATGAGCCAGGACCTTTCCTCTGTGGGTGTGGCTTCCATTGCCACCTTCCCTCAGCAGACGCAGGCGCCAACTCATCCCTTCCCTTCTGTCCCTCCTCCCCCCCTTCCCCCAGCCTCCCTTGCACTCTCTGCACACATGCACAGAGGCAAGTTAATTGGAATAAAAAGTGCCATGACAAGTGCCTGCTTCTTCAGGCAGCTCTCCCCTCCCACTCACCCCCCCCACATGCTCCCCAACCACAAATCATTTAGCTACGGGCTGTTCCACACCCTTTCTCAGCTGGAAGACAAAGGTCTTCTCTGGATGTGGAAGAGTAATTCAAATACTTATTCTAATGTCCAGAAATAGTACACTAAGTTCTTGAAATTTATTACTTCTGCAAGCAGGTGCAGGGTACCAAGGAAAAAAGGGAGTCACTCAACTTTCTTGTAGTCATTAACTTGCTGTTCTGGGTGGAACCATCAGGTCCAAGCTCATTTCAAATGCCACAATGAAATATTGCTGTTTCACTTTAAACCATCCCAACCAACAATACCCTAGGCCCGAGTAGCTACAAACAATAAGACAAGTTCTAAAAATGAAAATCCTAACTGATGAAAGTGTAAAGCTAATGCTTTGAGAATTGATATTTGTTTGATTTTATTTGTAGTCTTTCCCTTCTCAAAGTGTTGTAGCAGGTAACAAAACTGGTTGAAATAGAGCTCACTCCTAGCAGTTTTAATTAATATTATAAACATTTAGCATAGAAGATTCAAGTCTTTCTGGTGGCAGTTCTCAGGGTATAAGATGCATTTCAGATAGAGGGATAAAGCCCCTAAGGTACATTCAAATGTCAATGAATTCCTGCACATGGGAAACCTAATATGTATGATAGTGGATCATATTCTCTTGGACATATTAGCATTCCATGTGAAAGGAGCTTTTTTAATGCAAGGATGAATTCAAAAGTGGTTGCTCCCCCCCCCATCTATAGTGGGACTGTCCATTCTTGGAAAACTGCAGACATCAGGAAGATGAACAGCTGGGTAAATAACTTGTGTAGGTATGTAACTGAGTCTTCTTGCATTGTCAAAGACATCTTCATCTAAATCCCTAAAGCAAGAACTGTTGAAAAAAGCAAACCCTGCACAATTCTGGATGCAGACACCTACACAAATGATTTAATTATATCCTCAAAAAGTTCTGCAACTATGAGGGTTAAACCATCTATTTGGGGGGTACTTTTAAAAATAGGACGAGAATTCTGAAAACAAGTTGCAAAACAGGAGTATGTGACTGATTTCCCACAAGCCACTGCTCCGCCCTCACTCTTCCTTTCCCCCCGATTGTATGTGTCAATTTCCCACTACTTGCTGTGCAGCCGCATTTTGACCCACAGCTTCACCCAATTCCCCCTATATCTTTTCAATCCTCAAAAAACAAGATCGAAATGGACTTTTGGTTTTGGTGACTCACGGTCGAATGCATCCCATCAAGCTCTGATGGGTGTGTTTCAGATCGGAGTGGCAGGGAGGGAGATCAGATGTATTTGACCTCCCCCTGAAGCCATTGGGGGGGGCTTCTAGCCTGGAGCGCTGGAGGAGCCGCACCCAAAGCCGCGGCTTGGGCTTTGAGGCTTCTCTTAGCTCCATAAGGTCCCGCCTCCCCAAAGCCAGCAATGGTGACAAGAGACGTTACCGGACCAGAGTGTGCAAGGACCTAAAGTAAAGTGACTTTCCCTGTTATGAAGACATCAGCGGCAAAACATGAGTGAAGAAGTTTTAAAAAGAAAGACAAATGGAAAGCGGGTGTGAGAATCGGCAGTGAGATGGCAAAGCTACACAGGCAGAAAGGGGGGGAGGAACCTCTCGGAGGGGGAGGAGGAACCCTACCCTAGAAATCAGCATTGAAGTATCGGAACGAGAAGCTAAGCGAAAACTCTACTGTTAGAAATCCACCCAATTGACATTGAACGCAGTGGGCCTTATTATACAGTGCACAGAAGAACCTTAGAACTTTTTTTAAAAATTACCTTAATGTAAACAATGATGCAGCGAGGGGGGAAAATGGCGACCAGAGTAACAGTGATAACAGGAACTGCCAGCACATCATCACCGGGTACAAGGTTAGGAGCTACTTCTGATATTACTGACATGATTTCTGAAGCCTTGCGCCCCCTGCTGGACCAGCTGACGAACCTCAACAAGAAATTTGAAGATTTGCAACAAGAACCGAAAGTGACTAAAGTAAGATAAGAGAAGACTGCCCAAAAGCTAAAAAAGGTTGAATGTAAGTCCAAGGAAATGGACCAAATAATGGATGTGGCAGATAAAGAAAGAGCTTCTGGAAAACAACAACTATTACAATTACAAGTGGAAGGATCTCTGTATGTTCTAAGATTTCAAGGGGTCCCAGAAAAACAAGGTGAGAATCCAAGAGAGATCCTAAGTGAAGCACTGCCCCCCCTGATCAATAGCAAACCTGAAATATTACAAGCGGATATAGATTTGATCTACAAAACATATTCATAGTTTGTGAAGAAAAATAATCTTCCAGGGAAAATATTTGTTAAATTTGCAAGAAGATCAACAAGAGATTTGATACTTAGAGCAACAACCGGGACAATATTAAAAATCTTTGAGGAA